AATAATATTATAGTAAAGAAAACCAATAAGTCAAAGCTTGCAAACTGGAACCATAAAGGCCCTTATTTGAAACCAAACCAATATTTAAAACCCAAATCATAAATGAATAACAAAACATAAATAAATTCAACACAAAGAACGAATACTCTCAATCACACTAATCCCTTGACAACGTATGCCAAATCCCTAAACTTCACATCATCAACCTAACCTGTGCAATACTGCTCCCCAATAATACAAGTGTAATAATTGGATCATCACAGGATCATTGAAAGGTGAAGGCCATGACCAAAAGAAAACACACACAAAAATACGCAATCAACACAGCTGAGTACATACAAGCTACAACGCACCAACCTAGCAATGCTCAACTAATTAAAGTAAATAAACATACATCACGAATTCATAATCAAGACTCCTCACTTAATTAGTTCAATGAACTCTACATACTTACTAACCAATTCCAACCACTTGACTCTTCAAAATTAATTTAATTAATTTGGAGTAAGCAATAGACGAGGTTGTCCAATCAACCAAACAATTTTGGTCCCAAATGACCATTTAAAATAAAAATATAGCGCAATGTAAGAATAGGCGCGACTCCGTTCTCACAAAGTTAGTCTAGGATCCCATCTAACTTTCATTATAAAATAAAAATGTAAATACCAAAAGAAAAGATGACATGTTGATCAAACAAGCCTCAAAAGCCACGGGCTACTACCGTGTACCCCAACCCATATTTTCAATACTCTAAAAGTGCACCTTTTCCTGAGTTTTATTGCTCATCCACGTTTCACTTTACGTGATTACAAGTTTAATTAACAACCAACTCATTCAAGTAGACCCTACATAACAATCATACATACAATTCACTTTTAATCTTATTTAGGACAATGATGATCACATCACAAATTGACCTTTAATTCCTTTAAATTCCAAAATATCCAAAATTTGTTGAACATAGTCAACCCACCTAGCCATTTCGGCTTAATTAACCTTTACTCAACATATTAACAAGTCATGTTTGAGTAATAAATAAAATAATAATAATCTCATGGAATAATTAATAAATTCATTCCACTTAAACCATTCAATTCCATTCCTTCAATAAACCAAATGTGGTTAATAAACCAATCCAATAAAAATATGCTTGTATCAACATTCCATACAAATAATTAATCCAATTCAACATGCTTGCATCCATAATTCCATACAAACATAATCAATTCAGCAAAACATATCTCATAAACATAACTACATGAATTAATTCAATGTATAACCAACAATTTCCATCCAAGTGTTCTCTAAACATGAAACTAAGTTATTTCCTTTTGGTACCTAAACATGATACTACTTACAACGAAGTAGACATGTACGTATCTCATGTAAACAATTCTTTGTGCCAATTTTAATCACTTAAAAGTCTCCTAGGGAATAATCACCTTCTAGAAAATAATCAACAATCATAAATTAATTCCCAAACTAATTTCCAGCAATATAATTATATTTAAAACTCCTTAAAACTTCCTTTAAAACATGTTTTATGCTTAATTAATGATTAAAAATACATTAGGAATAAAAGCCCCAATTTAATTGTTCATAAGTACCCTAAAATCCCAATTTCAATAAAATTAAAACCCTAGGTTTATAAATTATAAAATATGAAAATTATACCAACACTAATAATCTGAAAATATGAATTTAAACTACCAAAATATAATTTTTCATACTAATAAAACTAATTTCAAACAATTAAAAACCAAAACCCTAAAATCAATTACATAAACATTATGAAAATAATAAGAAACAAAGGAGGAAGAAGAGGGAGCCACAGTGGGTGGCTAGTGGTGTTCGCCGGCGAGCAGGGAACGGCGACCAACAGGCGACGCCGGTAAGTCTGGGCGGTAGCAAGGGTAGGCAGTAGTAGTGAGTAGGAGGAAGGCTCACGTAGGAAGGAGGACAGAAAAAGAAAGAAAAGAGAAAAAAAGAAAAGGAAAAGAAAAAAAAGAAAAGGAAAAAGAAAAGAAAAAGGAAGGAAAGAAAAATAAAAGGGAAAAGAAAATAATACTAACCTTTTTGTGTGGAAAAAATTTGGGGATTCATAGGGTATTTATAGGAGAGAGTTGTAGGGTAAAATTAGGCCTCATGAAAATAGTGGGCCAATTAAATAAATAACAATGGACTAGCCAATCTCCAACGTGTCTGATTCCCATTGCCTTAACATGCTTGTTGTGTTTCACTTAAGGCAAAGGTTTAGTGAGTGGATCGGCTACATTGTCGTCCGTTCCAATCTTACAAATTCTGATTTCACCCTCGGACTTTCATTCCCTAATCATGTGAAATCGCCTCTTGACATGTTTGACCTTCTAATGTTCCATTAGATCCCTGGCCTGAGCAATAGCTCCATTGTTATGACATTAGAGGTCCATTAAACCCTTGATTGAGGGTACAACATCAAGTTCACCAATGAACTTAAGAATCCAAACTGCCTCCTTAATTAGCTGCTTCTGAAGTTGCCAAGTATTTGGCTTCAGTTGTAGAATCTGTAGTTTCACTTTGCTTAGCACTCTTCAAACTAAATGCTCCTTCATTTAGACAGAATATGTACCCTGATTGCAACTTGGAGTCATCTCTGTTAGTCTGGAAGCTTACGTCGGTATAACCTTCAACAACCGAATCATTATTTCCACAATAGTTCAGGGATTTATCCTTGTTTCTTTTCAGGTACTTTAGGATATTCTTTGCCGCAGTCCAATGCGCCTCTCCTGGGTTGATTGGTATCGGCTCGTACAACTCAAGGCATACGATACATTCGGCCCAGTATATCATGGCATACATGATCGATCCAATAAGCGAAGCATATAAAATTTGATTCATCCTCTCTCGCTCATCAGGTGTATGTGGACACTGCTTCTTGCTGAGAGTTATGCCATGTGACATGGGTAGGTGCCTTCTCTTGGCCCTTTCCATGTTGAATCGTGCCAGTACCTTATCAATATAAGTACTTTGGCTCAATCCAATAATCTTTTTAGATCTATCCCGATATATCTTGATGCCCAATATGTGCCGTGCCTCTCCCAAGTCCTTCATTGAAAAGCTTTTTCCAAGCCAGGCTTTTACGGACTCTAACATTGGAATTCTATTTCTAATGAGAAATATGTCATCGACATATAAGATGAGGAATGCGATGTCACTCCCACTGACCTTCTTGTAAACACAAGACTCATTTGGATTCTTGATAAAACTAAACTTACTAATGGCTTTATCGAATCGCAGATTCCAACTTCTGCTTACTTGCTTTAATCCATAAATGGACTTCTTAACTCAGCATTTCTTGGATCAACAAAACCTTCTGGCTATGTCATGTACACAATTTCTTCCAAAATTCCATTTAACATCCATTTGCCATATTTCATAATCATAATATGCAGCAATTGCTAGGATAATCCGAACGGACTTAAGCATGGCAACTGGCGAAAAGGTTTCATCATAATCAACGCCGTGAATTTTCCTGTAACCTTTTGCCACCAATCTAGCTTTGTATATAGATACATTTCCATCTTTGTTGGTTTTCAACTTGAAAATCCATTTGCAACCGATAGGTGTATAACCTTCGGGCAAATCAACCAAGTCCCAGACTTAATTTTCAAACATGGAGTTCATCTCGGATTTCATGGCCTCTTGCAATTTTGCAGAGTCGGGGCTCGTCATAGCTACGTTGCTGGCTCTTCTCCATCCATAATTAGGATGTCTTTTCTTCGGTTAAGACAACATCAAGGTATCTGTTTGGTTGAGATCTTGGCCGTTGCGACCTACGCAGGGTAATAGGTTGAGCATTTGCGTTGTCGGTTTGACTTTGACCAATGTCAACAGCTGCTTCTAAAGCACTTTGATTGTTAGTTTTGTCATGTTGACTTTGTTGCCCGTCCTTGTCATTTTGGAAAGGTGTTCCTTCTCCAAAAAGACACCATCACGAGCAACAAACACTTTGTTCTCGGATTTTTTGTAGAAGTAATACCCCTTAATTTCTTTTAGGTATCTCACAAAGAAACACTTGTCTGATTTTGGGTGAAGTTTGTCAGAAATTAATCTCTTGACATATACTTCGCAACCCCAAATCTTAAGAAAAGACAACCATGGAGGATTCTTCGTCCATAATTCATATGGAGTCTTTTCGACAGCTTTTGACGAAGCTCGGTTCAGGGTTAGTGCCGCGGTTAGAAGTGCGTGTCCCCAGAAAGAGATAGGAAGATCACTAAGACCCATCATTTATTGGACCATGTCTAACAAGGTTCGATTCCTCCTCTTGGACACTCCGTTCCATTATGGAGTTCCGGGAGGTGTTAATTATGAGAGAGTACCATTTTCTTTCATATGATTGTCGAATTCGTGGCTCAAATACTCGCCACCTAGATCAGATAGAAGCGCTTTGATTTTCTTGCCTAGCTGATTTTCCACGTCACTCTGAAACTCTTTGAATTTCTCAAAAGATTCAGATTTGTTCGACATAAGGTAGACATATCCATATCTACTATAGTCGTCCGTGAAGGTGATGAAATATCGATAACCATGCCTTGTGTGTGTACTCATTGGTCCACATACATCCGTATGTATAAGGCCCAATAAGTCACTAGCCCTTTCTCCTAACTTGGATAATGGTTACTTTATCATCTTTCCTAATAAACATCCTTCGCAATTTTCAAATGACTCTAAGTTGAATGAGACAAGAATACCTTCTTGAAGAAGTTTCTTGATGCATTTGATTAAATGTGGCCAAGATGATAATGCCACAAGTAGGTTTGATTCGACTCAACGGTCTTAGCTCTTTTGGCGGTATCATTAACATTTGTCTAATCATATATAAAATGTGTAATCTCGTAGAACATATAAACAAGACATTCAAAAAACAACCATTATTATAGTCTTGTGATCAAATAGCCCGGCGTTTAACGCCATAGATCAAAATATGTTCAAAAGCATGATCAACTAGAATTAGTTCATTACAAGCCAAAGACAAATAATGTGCCTACAAACACGACGGAAAGACCATCTTCATTGTCCGCTCGTAGTTGCACATCCACTTGTGAGACCCTCTCATCACTTGGTCCCTGAAAATGGGAGCATAAAGTGAGTCAACCATGGTATCCAATACCTATGAATAGCTTTATACATAAGTGTTAATGAAGATACCTGAGGTAGATGAAACATTTCTCTCCTCCTCATCCCTTTTGGAAGATCTTGCATTCCCTCTCTTGCCCACCACAATAGAAGCATCGCATCTTCGCTTTGTTCTTGAACTTCTTCTTCTTTGCTCTCAAGGGCCTTTTGGTTACTCCATAGTAACTGCACCACATCTCTTAAAGAGTGTGACTCCTTTCCCGCAGCTATATGCATCCTAAGTGCATCATAGCCTAAGTGGAGTGAGGCAAGCAAGATATGACCCGCCATCTCATTCTCCAACGGGATTCCGAGAAGCTCCATGTGCTTGAAGAGCCTAGTCATTCTAACCACATGAGGTTGGAGGGGTATACCGGGTCTCAATTTGGTATTGTAGAACCTTGACCAAAGCCGGTACCTCTCCTTAGCAAGGCAACCCTCTTCTGATGGCTTTATCTTCATATTTGAGAGTGACCTAGTCACATCAAACACGAGTCCATCATAGTTGCCATTGAGACTCTTGGTGACTCTCACATTGACAATGTCCTCAAGTGCTTTGAGGAACATGTTCGGAAAATAGGAGGAGAACTTTTCCTTCCATTCTTCCGGGATGGAATTAGCCATTACTCGTGAGACTTTCTTGCAATCGAAAGACCATGCATCATGAGCCTCATCACTCATGATTCCCTTAGAGAAGAAGCTTGGAATGGGATTATCAAGAATGTACTCCATGGAACAATTCTGAAGAGTTTTCCGAAGTTCCTCTTCCTATTCCTTGAAGTCGACCAAGCTTAGGCTAAAAGCCAACTTGTCGGGGAGTTCCGGGCACATAAGGTTGTTGTTCTTATTAGCAGATATGATTCTATAATTGAAAGATTTCGAAATGAAAAACCATTCATAAAACCAATAAGTTTGATATTTAAAGCATACATGCAAATTTTCAATCTTATTGAGCGTTTCATCCACGCATTAATATTTGTCCCTTTTAGGCGAGAATAAAACGACTCCAAGATCTAAAAATCAAAAAGTGATTAAGCATGCTTTGGCTTGTCTTAACACTTAATATTTAAGGGTAAGCAATCCAATTGCTAATAGCTCTAAGCTACTCTTGGTTCGATAAAACTTAACGTCGCATTTAATGCTTCCTTGACTCCTTACTAATATCGCTGAGCTTAACCAAGATTAACTTGTACCTTGTATACCTTACGTTGCTAGGGAAATAGTGATGCCTTGCTTTGGCATAGCCCATCACTATGCACATTAGTTCGGTAAGTGTTGTTCTTGGAATGACAAATTTTGCTCAATTTTATAGGGACCTAGGGTTTCTATGTTGGTTGATTTAAGTGAACTTAATAAATCATCGCAACATTTGAAATCCTAAACATGCATCTAACATACCATTCATTCATATATAAACATAATTATATATATAGAAAACATAAGTAAAATATGCATTTGGCAACTAGCATGACCCCTTAAGTCTTCAAGTCTTCAAGGGTCTTTGTTGCATCCTCTTGGCTTGTCTTCTTAGAAACGCTGTCTTCGAGACATCTCCACCAATTATGCAACTACTAGTATATTTACTAGGACTAATCTAAATATTAAGGTTAAAAAATACGCAACGGTACGCAGACCGTATTTAGATTTACAAAAATACATAACGGATAGCAGTTTGTATTTACTATCCTAATCGGGCCCCACTAGTTACCATTTTCACAAAACCTGTGAGATAATATACATTCCATTCATCCATTCACTATATGTGAATGACCCATGCATTTCACAACGTAAAACAAGTAATTAAAAATACTCATTATAATTTTTTATAAAACTCCCATAATAATAATATAATTAGTTAAGAGAAGAAAAGAAGAAGTAGAAAACCAAGGAAGAGGAGAATAAGAGGTGGCGGCAAGGGGCGGTATCCATCCGGCAGGTGGCTGGTGTCGGCGGCTGGCCGGGGAAGGTGGCAACCGGCGGTGGAGGTGGTGTTTGGTGGTGGCAGCCATGCAAGAACAAGAGAAAGAGAGGAGAGAATTAGAGAGAGATTAAGAGAAAAATTAGAGAGTTTTGGTGTGAGTGTTTAGCTATGATTCAAGGGGTATTTATCGGTTAGCTTATGCAAGAATTATGGTAGGAGAATATAAGAAGAATTATGGTAATTTTGGTTTAAGGAATTACTTGGAAAGGTGAGGTAAAAAATTAAGGAAAGTTTAGTTTTATGGTGATTAAGGAATAATTAATTATGGAAAGTATATTGTCATGAAAATAATATGGTAAATGGCTTTACTTGTGGAATAATCAAGAATGACTTAAGGTAGGAAAATAAGATGATCAAATATTTAGGGAGATGGAAAATAAGAATTAAGGAAAAATTATAGAATTAAGGAAGATAATTAAAAATACAAACTACCAAAAGAAATTGCACAAAATTAATCCAAAGTGGCCGAAAATTTTGAGCTTTCCTAAGCTCAAATTTTCGGACCTCTTGTCCAGATTTTAGGAAGTTATTTTGCTAGATTTTAAGGATTAAAAATGATTGTGTAAATAATATATATTGTATAAAATAATTAATTAAGAAAATACCAATTATTCACTAAATAAATTAACTAAGAAAATTAGATTTCCACACTAGGAAAATCCGAATTTCATATCTTATCAATTAGGAATTTTCAGAACTTTTTAATACATAATAAAATATAATTTTGTTTAATTATATATATATATATATATATATATATATATATATATATATATATATATATATATATATATATATATATATATATATAAGAGAGAGAGAGTGTAAAATGCATTTTTGGGGATTCATCTTCCGTACTTTTCTACGTTTAGGGACTCACCTTTCACTTTTCATCGTTTGGGGGTTATCGGTCAGCGGAATTCAAAAACCCAGTCACCTAATAAAAAATTCTCCCTAAATTTGTTGATTACACTGTCAAAGAGATAAAATCCTTAATATAAAAATAGTCCTTGACTCTATAAAAAAATATATTGCAGAAGAAAACCCTAAAATGTTATAAGATTTTGCAAAGCCCAAAATGTTAAAAATTGTAACTGGATAACCCCAAAATGTTATAAATTTCTCCAAAAAAAAAATAAAAAAAAAAATAAAAATGCATATGAGTAATGAGAATTTTTAAAAACAATGATATTTTGATTAAGGAAAAAAAAAACCATAGCATATTGTACAGAGCCGATGAGTTTACCTCATATTTGATTTATTTGAAACTTCTCATATCATTGATTGAGATTATGGTTGTAAGGTCCAATATTTTTGTTAGCCATATCCTTGCATTAAGAGAACAGATTATTAATTAGCATATAGTCTAGCTATTTATTTTACTTGAACTTTATACTGAATTGACATGAGTGGAGCAAAAAATAAGAAAATAGTACCTGTAGTGCTTGAGTTGTTATGTAATTTCTGCCATTGAGAGAAATGAAGCTACGGTTTGATGATGAAATGCTACCTTGAGTTGATTGTGATTGCTAGGTATTGTCATGTATTACTGTAGTTGACTCCACCATAATCAGTTCAGTAAGCAGCTTGCCTCCTTGGTTCACTAATCTGGGAAGAAAGACATAAATACAAGAACCATCAACATATTGTACATATACTTACAATTGAGTGGATTTATGAAGAAAACAAGCATATGAACTTACTGAGATTAACAACTAAATTTTTTTTAAAAAAAACTTACTGAGAATCCAGCAGCAGTTTGTAAGGGTTTTTGTTTCTTTCCTTTCTGTTGAAGTTGCGTGAGTGGTTGAGTTGAACTTGGTAATTCATCTCTCAAGCTTCAACTTATTTTGTTATGCCCTTGCTCTCCACATACACTACATTTCATAATCATGCCAGTCTTCCTCATTTTACCATTGCTAGTAACTTCTCCAACCTGTTTTTTCCTTGCCTTTATTTTGCGATCTACCTCTAACCTTTTTTAATGGAGGGGATGAAATTGATTCAATTTGTGAAATTGGCCATTCATTAGGTCCATTCAAAGGCTCCATAGGAAAATCATAAGCCTTCAAATATTCAGGTTTGGTAAAAGAGCTTGCAACATACTGCTTGGGATGTTCCACAGACTTCCAAATGGCAGAAATTGCATGTTTACATGGGATCCCACTAAGCTGACATGTATTGCAACTGCAAGTTCTATCTCTTAGATCAACGACATATTTCGTCTGAGTTATCCCATCTCTCACACCAAACTTAAACCTTCCATCCCTAAATGCAGACCACCCCCTTGACTTTAACTTATTATCTTCCAATTTTTGTTGAATTCTTGGACAAATGAAACACTCTTTCTTTTCAATAAAATCTCTTTTCTTAAATAATCTCTCCATTAAAGTCTCGCTTATGTCCTCCAACATAGTAATTATTGGTTTATGCCTAGAGTTAAGTGTATATGCATTGAAAACCTCACTCATATTATTGTCGATGCTATCAAAACAAGATTGTGGTGTGTAAAATGCTTTACACCATTTCTTGTAGTTCCTATTCAATAAGTCGTTTGCAGCAGCCTCTGAAACTTTTCTAAATGCTTCAATGTATGCTTGGAAAAAAATTTCAGTTGTGCTTTTGTCAATCCTCCAAAACCATTTCCTAAGTTCCTGCCCCCCACCAAATACATCCCTAAAATTACAATAAACGTGTCTAGCATAACACCTAACTTCTGCTTGATTCCATATCTCACTTACAGCTTGAATCAAACCTTTTTGTTGATCTGACATTATGGTATACCTAGCTCCACTAGTCGTACCTAGGTCTTGAGATATTAATTCCAAAAACCAACCCTAATTATCACCACTTTCAACCTCCACAATAGCCCATGCAATTGGAAACATTTGATTGTTTCCATCCCTCCCCACGACCACTAAAAGTTGTCCACCCAATGGACCTTTCAAAAACAACCGTCTAATGAAATAAATGGTCTACATCCAATAAGAAATCCCTTTCTCAGTGCTTCAAAACAAAAGTACAGACGTTAAAATTCTTGGTTTTTCAATTTCAAAATAACCGTGTTGTTAGAGTTTGCTCTTAAAATCTCTAGTGCATATCTATGTAATAACCCATATTGCTCTCTATACTCACCAAGAATTAAAGCATGTCCCTTTTTTCCAGCTCTTACTGCTAGCCACAATGAAATCTTTATCCCCCAATCACACCATACATGCTCTACAATTTCTCGTAATCTCATGTAAGGGTTAATCTTAAACTTACTTGCATAAGTTGAAGCAACCCATGAAGAGAAAATCAATGTCACCTTGTTCTTTCTACCGCAAATGTGCTCATCTAGATGTGTCTTTATCTGAAATGTTCTTTTACTAGCAGCGCCCAAAGTCTCCATTTGCAACCCTGTGATTTACATTCATCCCCAATCTTATCTTTTTTATTTTTACTGAAATGCACATCTCTCCCATGGAAAATACAGTAGTCTGTAATTGATTTTTTCAAATGTTGAGCGTTGTCAAACTCTTGTCCAATGTAAAACTTAGTATCTTGAGGTGTTGTCCCTTGTTTGTACATCTTGAAAGTAGAAGATTTTTTTATTTTAGTCGGAATAGGTATTATATACCGACAATCTTCCTCATCAGATGCATCATCAAGACTATCCAAGTCAGTAGAATCCTCATATTCACTATCTATTTCTTTAGGCTGCTTTCGTTTGTTCTCTACCACTCTTTTAATTTGTTTAAGTTCTTCTTCATAATCCTTATCAATATTCTTAGCCTTCTCCTACTTTTTCTATAGCATCAACAACCTCTTCCTCATCCATATCATTGCCATTTTCATCATAATCAATTGCATCATCTATTGTAGGCATGACATGACTCTTAAAAGTATCCTCATCATCATGTTGTAACAACACTGTAAAGCTCATTTTGCTTCCCACATATAACTCCTCATCAAAAATATAGTCAGCAACACAATTTGGTTCTAGAATAGCAGTTACTTCACGTTCACAATAAATATGAATCATACCATACTGAACCAAGAGACTGATGAAAGGATCAAAGGTAGTTTCATCATATCCAAGGTACCTAATACCATCAACCAAAGATTTTCTAGGAACCAAATAATGCAACTTGCTTAGATTAGTGTACCCAAATTTGATATTAACATCTTAAGATGTGATGCATTCAAATCTTCAGCCACATCGTTAAATATATTTGTAAACCCACCCTCGTATTCCATAACACCATGAACTAGCTTCCAACATCCACCATGATGAACAACAATGCAAGGTGTCAATCAGTATCTATTATTTACATAAGATAAATATAGTATATAGTTATGAATTAATTAAAACTTATAGATTATCAATATTGACATACGGAACAATTTTAGACCAAAGAAGCCCCTTTTAGAATAAAATTACTTTGTCAAGTATTTCAAAAAAAAGAAAAAAACCTAAATAAAAAATTCATAGCATAAACATTTTTAATTATACAAATTGCATATTCTAAGCCTATAAATTCATCTCTCCTTACTCTGTTTTGTTTTCAATTTTCTTTATCTAATACCATATTCAAGCAAACCACAGAACCCTATCCCACAAAAATTAGGGGATAAGCATATTAACTATCTTCAATCTATCATAATATCACACATGATCACTTATACATTGAACAATTTTGCCTAAAAAATTTCAAACATCTGAAAAAATACCCTAAACCCTTATCAATTGCATACACAATCAAAGATAAGAAAAAAGTCATCTAATTCCAAAAATAAATATCATTTAGATATAATACTTGTACTGAAGAGTAATGGATGTGTTGAAGAAGCCTTTTTGTCTACTATGGAAGCGTTGCTCATTTGAGAAATACAGGACTACAAGTTACAAGTTGCTTGACTTTAGTCTAATCTAGGTTATTTTAATTAGCAGTGTTTTATTTTACTAGGAGGATGAGTATGTGTCATTATTTTTATTTAGCTGTACAAGAAAAAAAAAATATTTACTTCACTGGAAAACTTTTAATACCTACCGGCAATCCCCAAATGATGAAAAGTGAAAGGTGAGTCCCCAAACGATGAAAAGTACAATAGGTGAATCCCCTAAAATGCATTTTACTTTATATATATATATATATATATATATATATATATATATATTATTCGGTTTTTAAATAAAATAAGTGGATAATAAATCTTATCCAAAATTCGAAAATAATAATCAAGTTTTAAAATGCTTTTGGCGCCAAAATTCAAATATCATTTTGGCCCCAAAATTTCAAATAGTAAAATAATTTACTAAAATAACCTTTTAAGAAAATATTAATTAATTAATTAGAAAATACATTTCAAAATACGGGGTATTACATTTTTTTTCATTTGTAGGGGTGTATGGAATTTGGAAGTAGTGGGTGGAAGACTCATCGGCTACAAGTCAAGCTCCTCCAATTCCAATTCCTCCTCCCGAGCCTTGGGAGTATGACCCTTGTCCAATGACGAAAAATAATGACCCCTTTGAGTGACAAAATCAATCAAACCAACCTTCTACAGATGCTGATGTTGTTGCCCTTTCTAGTGAAACTTTAAAAAAAAACACTAAAAAAAGGTGCTCTACTCATTGGGAGCATGTTATAAGGAAGGATGGAGAAAATAAGGCTGAATGTATCTATTGTCATACATTTATTGGTTGTGCATCACTTCAAGGTACCTCCGACATGAAGAACAACATAAAGCGGTGTAAGGACTACCCCCCAAATAATGATCAAAATCAGAAACTATTGTCCCTTAGTTAACAAACTCTTGATGGGAATCTTGTAGATCAAAAGAAAGGTAGACTTGAGTTATGGAAATTCAATCAAGAAGATAGTAGGAAAACTCTGGCAAAGATGGTGATTATGGATGAAATGTCTTTTAGAATGGTGGAGCATGAAGGTTTTTACAACTTTATGAAGGTAACACAACCCTTTTTCATCATTCCTTCTCGATGGACAGTGACTAGAGTTTGTTTTAGGATTTATTTGGTTGAGAAAAAAAGTTTGAAGAGTTTTTTTTAGCAAGCGCACTTCACGTATAAGTCTTACCACTGATACTTGGACTTCTTGCCAAAATAGGAATTACATGTGTTTAACCGCTCAGTTTATTGACCAAAATTGGAAATTGCACAAGAAAATAATAAACTTTTGTATAATTTCTGGTCATTCTGGTGAAACAATTGGTAAATCTATCCAAAAGTGTCTACTTGAATGGGGTATTTCTAGAGTAATGACTGTCACTGTAGATAATGCTGTTCAAATGATGTTGGCATTCAATATTTGAAAAGAAGGTTTTACAGTTGGAAGACTTTAGTTTTGGGCGGTCGGTTTTTACACATGAGATGTTGTGCTCACATATTAAGTTTAATCGTTAAAGAAGGATTGAAAGAAAGTGAGTGTCAATTAAAAAAATTCGTTGTGCTGTTAGGTATGTAAGATCATCGGGTGCTAGATTGCAAAAGTTTATGAGTTGTGTTAAACAAGAAAAGTTGGAGTCAAAACGTATTCTTTGTTTAGATGTGGATACTAGGTGCAATTCCACTTATTTAATGTTGGAAGGTGCTTTGGCATAACATAGGGCTTTTAATTTTCTTGAATGCTCTGATGGTGGTAAATTCAGGTATGAGTTAAATAAGTCAGATGGTGTGCCTGATTCTAGTGATTGGGATCATGTTGCCTCTTTTCTTCCTTTACTTAAAATATTTTATGACGCTGCTCTACGAGTGTATTTACAAGAACTTGTTGGGATTAGTGTGTTAATCAGAAAAAAAAGTGTTGAGTAATGATGTGGGGGTGAGTTTAATGGCTAGTGGATTGAAGAAAAAGCATGACAAGTATTGGGAGAATGTTGATGATGTGAATCTATTGTTGTATATTGCTTTCATTCTTGATCCTAGGCGGAAAATGGGATATACTAAATGGGCAATTAATCAATAATATGATTATGAAAAAGCTAAGTACTTGTGTGCTAAAGTGATGCAAACTCTGAACGACATGTATGAACTTTATGTTTCTGAGAACCCTCCAAAGGAGTCCATTCCCCAAAAAACTTCTGATTTTCCGGAGGAAGTAGAAGATATGGACTCTGATGTGGATGTTGCGGAATTAGAGTTTGATTGGGTTCAAGTGTTGGAGTACGAGGGAAAAATAAGTTAGCTAAGTATTTATAAGATGATAGATAAGTTAATTCTGTCAAAACTGTCAAAAAAAGTTTTGATTGTTTAGGGTGGTGGAAAAAATATGGTGAAAGGTAACCAACAATAGCTCTCATGGCTAGAGATGTACTTGCCATTCCCGTGTCAACAGTTGCTTTCGAATCAGCTTTTAGCACCGGTGGTCGAGTGCTTGATTCATTTCGCAGTTCACTTTCAACTAAGATGGTTGAAGCCTTGATTTGTGCACAAGATTGGTTACGTACATCTCAATATCCTCTTATACTTGAGGAGAGACTTGAAGATATGGAAAAAATTGAATCAGGTAACATTTAAATATTCTCTCTCTCTCTCTTTTTTTTTCTTAATCTGATTATATTCTTGTTAATTATTCCTTACCTTTTTTTTTAAAGAAATGTTGCTGCTTAGTGAGGAACAATCCCTCTTTGTTGATGATGATTAGAGGCAGGAGCTGTTATAAGCATGAAGGTTGATGTTGATGGTGATTGAACTATTGAAGGCTGAAGTCATTGAAGACTTAAGGCAGCAACTGTTATAAGAATCATAGACTTTTTTTTAAAAGGTTATGTA